CTGATAATAATGAAAAAAAAAAACCAACAAAAACAAACTTACATAATGGTACTAAGTTGGAAAGAACTGTGGGAAGTAAGAGAGAGTAGTAAAGATGAAAAAGGACAACAACAAGAAGAAAAAAAAAAAAAAAAAAGAAAAAGAGGACAATGTCTAAAATTTCACTTGTAAAATTTTGGAACAAAAGGATTTAGATCACATGATTTTCTGAAATTTATTAACATTTTCTGAGTAAGCAAAATTTGATGCTACACTTGTGTTGTACATCCAGAAAGAGAATATTCTGTGGAGATGTACCTTTACAAAAATTGTCATACTGACATATTACCAAACTCAAGGTAATGGAGAAAGTCATAAAACTTAAAAAAAAAGTCTATTTTTTTGTTTGTACTAAAGAAATATATATTATTTCATAGCCACTTGTATATGCATACTGCCTGTTCTCACAAATATTAGTAGATTTTTCTTGTTGACATCTGGTGAAGTCTTCAAATATTCTACAAAAAGAAAAAGTGGAGGAGGAAAACAAAAAAGTCATCTCGTCACATTTTCCTGTAACGAACAATATTAAATATGGTGACTTTGCACTGGATACCATATTTAATATTAATTTATTGCCTGTGTTTGCATACACAAAAACAGATAAAATATTTTATCAATTAGATACAAAATTTTATTTAATATAAACAAGAAAAAATATCTTTACTGATTCCATCAAATCTTTTATGCAAACAGCTTTGAGGTTATAGATAAGAGTTCTATTACACACCATCTTGATGCAAATCCAGTTTCCTAAATTTTAAGTTAAATAAACAGAATATGCAGAAATTTCATTTGAAAGAGAAAAAGAAAAAAGAAAAAAAAAAAAAGAAACTTTCTATGAAAGTAGCATTATTGCATAATGGAGACTCATTGATTTCTCCATATTTTCTATTCAAAAGTTTTTCCTAAAATTTAATAATTAAATATGTAAATAAAGTATATTTACAATTTGAAATACAAAACAATTTATCAGTTGTACATATACCATAGCATACGTAGAGGAAAGATTTTCATTCTTTGCAACATCCAACCACTGGCACATCGCCATGCATTCTCATCCCTGACCTTTGTTTGACTAATGCTACTGCCATTATTTATACATTTCTCTACTTTTAGCAGCATGCACCATCATGCATCACACTTGTCTCCACCCACAATATTTTATTATTTTTATTATAGCATAGAAGTACACAAGCTTCTACCTAGTTTCAAAGACTACAGAACCCAACTCCAAAAGTCTGCTTTCCCTGGTCAATAAAAACGTCAACCATTATATTACTACACTGTATACTTGTAGGATTCTACATCCACGTTTCCATTTTTGGTATAATCCTACCTCACATTAAAAAAAACAAAAAAAAAAAATGAATTATAGAATTAAATATCTTGATTGAATGAAGCTGAAGAAATCTTATTGTTAAAAAAAAGTTCAAAGATAACACGATAAAATAAATAAAAAAAACTTTATTGTTTACGTTAACGCCTTAGAATTGTAATAATATTTTAGAAGTTAACTTTAACAAATAAAATAGGCAAAGATGGTCAACGTCTAAAAGCCTGCCCAGGGAGCCAATCAAGAAAAAACGAAAACAATCAGGAACTTAAGAAACAATGTCTCTTTTACCTGATGAGTCACGATACCCATACTCCATTTTCTGTTTTAATGCAAAAACATGGGGTTCCACATCCAAACAAGTGAGAGAGCAGAAGGTGCGGGTGAAGATTTTGAATTAATTCTAGTTTTAAGCTTTCTATGGTGATATAATATTACATTTTTAAAATAATTGTGTTCAGTTGTCAAGTGTATATTTACAATAAAATTATAATGTCACAAAGATTGACCTGCCACAGAGATGTTGAATGTTGTTGTACGACGTTTATGGCCAACGTGACAACCATCTCTCCTCCTCCTTCTTCTTGTGTAATCTTAATACCAGTTTTCAAAACAACGTTTATTTAACAACTGGTGAGTGCATTTAAACAACCAAACTCTCTTAAATGTCATTCTGAATTTTTCTATAAAATAAAAACATTTAAATAAAAATTGTTTTAACTAAAAAACTAAAAACATACTGAAGAAAATAATCATTTTTTCATTTCATTATCTACCTACACAGGGGATAAAAATATTTTTTTAAAAATGAACATAATTAGCAGAAAATAATCTCATTCTTTCTGTTTTACACGTTGTTTGCATGAGAAAATGTGAAGAATTTAAAAAGAAAACTCCATAAACACGCGTAAAATTCTTGGCTGTCTAAGTGTGACTCATTTTGACATTTTTTCTTCAGTAATTTCTCAGCCAAACAGACTACAAAATCTTTTAAAATATATTTTTAATATTAAAAAGATAACCGTATAATACGGATTTACAGTATTTTATTAAAATTATGGTAGGAAAAAAATGAACAGCGTTAAAAATAAAATTTAAAATTCAACTTTTTTTTAGGAAATTAAAATTTTAAAATCTTGCCGTTTGTAAAGCCAGCCTATTTAAAAAAAAATAGGCATGCGATCAAAACTACAAAGTTTACAAAATATATTTACAAAAACAATGACTTCAAATATTGAATCATTACTGATTGAATATTATCGTAAATTCTAAAAATGATGACATTAAAAATAATCTAAGATTTCTTTTTAAAAAAAAAGTCCACTTTAATTTCTAAATTTAAAAATTAAAGAAATACACGCATTTCTGAATCTTATTTATTGTGAAATAAATAATAAAGTGAAGAAATTTAAATTATTTACAAAAATGACTGAATCATTAAAAAAAAAAAAATTAAGCCATTTTAAATGCTTTCAAAAGTTATTTTTACGAATACCAAAAAATATCAATTTGATTAGAAATGTCAAAAAAATGAAATTATCAAAAATTTCAATTATGATTTTGCTTAATTTTTTTTTTTCTTTCTTTTTTTCTTTACTGACCAAGGAACAAAAAAATGAAACTAAATTCGATTCACAACAAATAAGAAACATTTTAAACAAGTCTTCGTGATCACGCTAAATAATAACAACAAAAGCAAAATAAGACAAATGCGTGTGTCATCGTTTATTTTATTTTTTGTGTGCGTGTGGAAGACAAAAAAGAAGGAAAGAGAAGCGAGAAGCATGTTGTCATCATTGTTGTTATTACCTTCACAAGAAACCTTAACAACTCTTAAATCAATACGGACCTTCTTCTCCGACACCAAAGGTTTTAAACAGAAAGTGAAAAGTAGGAGAAAGATCAATTTTCATAAAAAGTTAGTATTAATAACCGAGCCCCGACTTTGTACCCGAAAATGGAGTGGGCCTGTTCTCTCGTCTATTACGTTATTAAAAGTGATCCCTTACTTTGCACTCAAAAAAGAAACGTAATAATAATCTTTACATGGCAGATTTTTCAGGGGGAAAATCAGAAGAAAAAGGTTTGCTTTTGGAATTAAGGAGAAGAAAAAGAAAGCAAAAGTGATAAGTATTTTTTAATGTGGTGATGGCAATAAACAAGAAAACGATTAACTTACTTTCTGTATTGTGTTTGAATTTGGGGGAGGTTGTGCTTTCCCCTTGGGTTGTGTCTGCACGAAAGCGAGCGACATGTTGGCTGTATACAGGTTCTCTCTCGTGGGAGACTTATATCGTCGGCCAGTTAAAAACACGACTGACCAGGCAACCAACACGATTAAAACAATAACGGCGCAAAGTCAGGTCTGGTGTCAATGAGAAGTGAAAAATAACGAACGAGACTTTCCAAAACGTAACGATGCCGGTGACCAAAAAAACTTTGTATTGTTTCTCACTTGTACAACGAGGGGGAAGGGGGAATTGGCAGGAAGCAGTCCCGCACTAAATGACTTACTCAGCAACAAATAAGGGCAGTTGCTGTATCGTTACATTAATACAAAGGAAAGCTGTTTAAATGAAAATAGGGAATAAATTACATGTAAGACTTAAAGTAACAGAGCTAGGAATTCAGATTAGGATATATAACGTGGGAGTCGATAACAAATTGGCTATTGAAAAAATTAAAGGGGAGAAAGACCTTGCGTTTTTTAATCAGAAGATAAGTGTTTCCAAGAATGTTGAAGATTGAAGTTAGAGATGTGACTGTAAGCTTAAGCCTACATTCACATATTTTATTTTTTGAGGGCTGAAAATAAAAAGGGAAAATGCATACGAGAAATTCATTGATTAAAAAAAAAGATATGAAATGCGCAGCAATTTGGAAAAGTGAGAGGATATCAAAGACAGCAAGTGGGTGTAGTAAAAAAAAAAAAAGAACTCTCAGACTATGGGAATTCGCAAGAAAAAAAAGTTGCTATTTTATTTCTTACAGAATTTAGAGAGGGAGGATTTTTTTTTTTTTTTGCCGAGTTAGAATTAGAGATAAAAGAAACAACTTTATTCCTTTCTTTCTAATATTACAAATAGAGGAATAAAGTTGTTTTTGTCTTAATGAAAAATTTTTTTTAAATCTAAAAAGCAAAAGATTTTTATTCTTAAATGGCATATTTTAATAAATTTCTAGGTGTAAAAATGATTTTTTAATAGGCTAATTAAAAAAGTTTGCAAGGAAATAGTTAATAAAAAATAAATACGTTTATTTTTATGCATAGAAATTTTAAGTTAGCTTACATTTAAATAAAATATACTAGCGTATGTTTTTGTTAAATAAATAAAATAATTTTCTTTAATAAAAAAAGTTACAAAGTAAAGAAAGTAGTATTCAATGTCTAATAATTGTACGTTAATTTTTCCAATTGGAAATTTATCTTCTACCTAATTTTTTCATTGTTTTAAACTTTTAAAACTCAATAAATTATCTAGAGATTTAGTAAAAACAAATTATTATTATTTGAAAAAAAAAGTAAGATGCGGTTCAAATAAAAACATTTTGTAAATAAAATGTGTAATTTCGACTTTTCATTATCATGTGCCGGAAGTATTAATTCCTATTCAGTGCGGACCTATTGTTTAATGGTAGCCGCTGTTTGTACAACTCAGGTCGTACTCACGTATTTATCATCCTGTGCATTCCCAAAAACTTTGTTTTATAAAAATGACGTCCAGATACGACCGTGCTATCACAGTATTTTCACCAGATGGACATTTGTTTCAGGTGGATTATGCACATGAAGCCGTCAAAAAAGGCTCTACTGCAGTGCGTTCAGGTTTTTTTTTTCTTGCTTTGTCATTCTTCTCAATTTTTGGGTAACCCTAAAAAGTCTTTGGGTTCTCTAGTCTCCAAAACATGTGCTTTTCTCACTCCATAAAAATCGACATAGTTTCAAATCCCCGCATTTTGTTAGCTCTTAGTTCTGCGTTTATTTTAAAATATTATATTTTCTTTTTTCTTTCTTTACTTGATAATCCGGCTTCTTTTCAATAAAAAAAAAAAAGTGTAAAAAAAGACCTACCTTTTTAGTAAAGTTTTGACTACAGCATTATTTTTTTTTCCTTTCGTATTTTTATTCTATTCATGGAGAAATAGAACATTTTTTAGTTTGCTGCTTACTTTGTTGGGCTGATTGAAACATCCTTTCAAAGTCTAATCTGGATAGTGTTTCTTTTTTATTTTGTTCCTCTAAAAATGTAAATCACCGGTTAACCGTTAAATGGTAAGCAATTTTAAAAATATTTTGGGTAAACCATCAACAGTTTGTAAAATAACATTGATTTTAAATAAGATAAAAATCATAAAATTAATTTTTTCATAAAAAATTGTTTTGATATTTCATTTAAGAATGAAGAAATTACCAACTAAGTACCTACCTATCGCTGACTTAAGATAGTAAAACTTTTAATTCAATATATTATATAGAACCTTCAATTTTGGGGTTTTAAGTTTTTGTTGAGCAAGATTGATATTCAGATTTTATAATTTCGAATTATAGTTAACTTCTTGATGTATTTGATTATGTTTTGGCTTTTGGAATAAGCTACATTTAAAAAGTATACTACTGTTAAAGCTAGAAATCATTGGAATATAAACGGTGGGGTATAACGGGCCACATTACCTGTTCAAAAATTTTATTTACCTTTGTTACACGACAATGGGAAACAGTACACATTTTCTTAAATCGAAAATAATATCTAGTTTTTATAATGGAAGTATGAAGTAATTTCTAAGTCAAATTCTAGTCGAAATACTATTCCGCTACAAATCACTTAGAGTTATGTTAAGTAAGTTAAGTAACTCATTTAAAAAAAAATAAAAACCATTGATATTTTTTTATTAATCGTGATTGTAATAATGAAGAAAAAAAAAGGTCCCCTTAAAAACATAATTGATCATCATAAAACGGTTTAAAATTTTCCAAAGTTTGGGATGAAACTTGAGAAAAGGCTGTTTTTTTTTTTTTTCAAAAGTTGACATTATGTGCAGAAAAATTCAATCATTGATAAAGCAGATAAAAATAAATCTGTGATGCAGTGTTAATTCCACCTCATCTAGCATTTTATTTATTTGGTTATTACTGCTTTTATATCAAGTTTTTTTTTTCTTTAAAAAGTATCAAGAGAAACTTTAATTCAAAAAATCAGACTAGCCAAAACATAGAAGAAAAGATACTAGTATTGTTAAATCATAAATGACAATTGTTACAAACATTTCTAAAACTTAAGAACTCTTTGTACTTTCCATAATTCAAATTGCATTGAACCAGTTTTTAATTGACTTTTTAATATAATCGATCTTAAAGAATTTAATAATTGAAATTACTGTTTGAATTTAAAATTTTGATTCAAAATTACCATCATTTTTCTTTTCATTCCTTCAGTACAAATTTGTTGATTCCACAAAGTAAAGGCATTAATTTTTATCTATTTTATAAGTAAAAGATTACTTATAGAGTTATATCGAAATCTAAGTGAACTTTCCCAAATCAAAATAGAATTTTTTTCTGATTGTGGTATTTGTTTATGCAATCAATGCCAATAATGTTCTGATAATGCTTCTTTTTTCAGCTAATACATATTAATAGCCATAATAATTTTATTTACTATTATTAAGCATTACTATGTCCATCTTGCCAAATTTCATTTTTTGAATCCATAGATTGTAAACAATAAATATTTTTAGTATATCCTTTGTTATTAAAAGTTTTTATCATTCAGAAATTGTTTTTGTGATAGTTTGCTTACAGAATGGTAATAGGATTGATAGTAAATTAATAAAAAGTTTTATTATGTTTAATAATTGATGATAATTGATAGAAGTTGAGTCAGTTGTTATGTAAGTAAACATTTCCAAATTTGCCAAGTATTCACAGAGTATTGCTGTAAAAAATGCATGTAAGCTCCTAATTTAAGTGTATTTGCTTTCATTGAAAACTATTAATAGATGTTAGGTTATTTGATTCAGCTATTCACCATTACATGTTGAAGTAATTATTTTGTGAAGATAATGATGTTATCATCAATCTTAAAGAGGGACAAGCCATTCTGACAGAAATAACTATTTAGTAGAGTTCCACACGACCAAATAATGGAAAATGAGTTCATTCTATGTAGTTTTGAAGTAAAAAAAAAAAAATAATTTTGAATTTTGTTCTTAAATGTCTTGATTAAATTGATTCTTTCTATAGCTCGATACCAGCAATTGTCTCTAACAACACAAAACCTGATTCTATAAACAGATAAATATCTTGAAATGAATGCATATGTCACAATGAGGGAAATTTTGCTTCCAACATAAAAAGCATAGATGTTTGGGAATTTAGATATAAAAAATTAACCTGCATATATACAGCCTTAATTTCCTATAAAAAAAAAATAAAGGTGAATAAAACCCTAACCCAATGTCCAAATAAAAAAATTCATTTTTTTTTTTTCCCAATCTTTTATGTTAACCTTTTATATTTTCTTCAAAAATTACTGTATAATATCATGTTTGAAAAAAGAAGTTGATGATTTAAATTCTCCAAGGTGTCTTGCTTTTAACTAATATAAATAGTGGAATTTTAATTTTTGGAAATTTCATTAAGTGTAGTGTGAGCAGGTAACAGCAACATATGTAAAAAAAAAAAAAAAAAAAAAAAAAAAAATATTTTTACCAGCATTTTCTAAAAAAAAAATAATTTCATTCATCTGGGAATAAGTCTTGAAAATTTCATTAAAATCTGACAATTATCTTGACTTTTGCAAGGATTTCCAAATCTAGGTGTTTTTTTTTTTTTTACTGCAAAAGAGATGATAAAATTTCCTATGCTAATCTTTGGTGCTCCTGCTGATGCAAGAAAAACAAGATTTTTAACCAAAATTTTGAATGTGCTAAGAAGTATTTAAATAAAATAATTAAAAAATGCTTTGGCCTTTCTTAAACATTTTGAAGATAAAACTTTGTTTTTATTAAGTTTAAGGCCTTTTTTCATCATGGTATGCTGTTTTTTCAGCGACTTATTGGAGGTACCTACTATATATCTTGGCATGCAAATGGACCTTTAAAATTTAGCTTTATATTTGCTGGATAATTACTAGCACCAAGTTTAAAAGCTCAAATTGGACTATTGATTAGTATAATTAATTTGAAAAACTCTAGAGAAAAATTCTACAACCTGGATTGATATTGGATTGGATTTAAGAGGTTGAAAATTAAAAACCTCTTATTAATAAAACATATTTAGATTTGAGCATTTATGATTTTACAATTTAGACCTTTTTTTCTGACTAGCAGTTTCATTTGTATGAACTTGTAACTTCTGAATTAATTGGAATAATATACCTTGAAATTTGTTATCTGATCCAGGATGGAATCTGTATTAACAGGTAAACAATTCTAATTTATATGTGAGTTGAATGTCTCAAATTGTAATCCTAGAAAATAGTATCTTATTCTAAATAAAGGCTTAGGATTGCTTTCTTTATTATAAAATGAAAAATATGCTCATAGAAGTTTGACAGTACTTCCATAATGAGGTTTGTGAATGATTCAGTTTAGTTTGGGTCTGAAAGAATGAAAACTTTTACAGCATATATGAGCTGCCCTGTAATCAATGTTTTTTATCAATGCATAATGAAAGTTTCTGTCGCAGAAGAATCTTATTTTATCTGTGTTTAGTTTTTAATGACTACAGTTGGAAAATATTTTATCTTCCAGGTAGGAGTCAGGGGTAAAAATATTGTTGTATTAGGTGTGGAAAAGAAAGCTGTTGCCAAATTACAAGAAGAAAGAACTTTGAGAAAAATTGCCTTGCTTGATGAGCATGTTGCTATGGCATTTGCAGGTAAGTTTGTTTCCTTCAATCTTTTCAGTTTTTATCAAATGAATCTTTAACTCTTTATCCATTTTCAGCTCCATTCACTTTTCAAACTGATTTAACATTTGCAAACATTGTCATCTGTTTCCCTCCATTTATAGAGATGGTCTTCTCTTTGAAAATGGCAATTTATAATACTCTTATTTTCTTTTTTGAATAGATATCCTTTCAGTATTTCAAATTTTACTGCTGATGTTAACAAGAATATATTCCTTCTTTTGTTCACACAACCAAAGCATAACAAATGGATAGTCTTGTTTGCTATATTTGTTCACTTTATTATTGTTATTGTTCTATTAAAGCATGGCATCATCTAAGAGATTTGATTTTGAAAACTTGGATGCTTAAATTCTTTCAGTATATTTGAAATACAAATGGAAATTCTACTTACTGCTTATGTTTGAATTACATTAAAATATTTTATTATTGAATTCAGTAATTACCTCACAATTTATTACAAGCACTTTTCAATTCTATAATTCAGTACATGCCACTTATATTAACTGCTCAGATATATATATATATATATATATATATATATATATATATATATATATATATATATATACACACACATACAAACAAACAAAAAAATCTGGTAACTGGAAAAAGTTGAAAAAAATGATAAAACAATACATATAAAATTTCAAATGAATGTAATTTACATAATATATATAATAAAAGATATAATAATTGTGAATTAAATAATTATATTACATTTAAGCAATATTTACACTTTTTCAGTTGAATTTAAAATCTGTTAATTTTTAATGCATATAATGTATACAATTTTTATATATGTACATTATAAAGGTTGTAATAACAATGAGTGATAGTAGGGACAAGCTCCCATTGTCTATAAAATGCTTCCATAGCATGTGTCTCAAATTTTATTAGTATTTATTTATTTATATCATATATTAGTATTTATTTGGTTTTGTACAACTAACCTGAAGATTGTTTATCTTATTTTTACTTTGTTTTTGTTTACCTAAAGTTATATTTATCAACTTTGCATTTTCTACTCTCATTAATTTTATAACAATTGAGTGTCAAAAAGGTCATATAAAGGATTTTATTGAATTTATAATTTATAAAGAAGGACTATTTTACACTTAGATCTTGATTTATATTTTCATTTTTTTCTTTCTGCTATCTTTTTCCAAAATTAACAAACTTTTGATGTTTGTATTTGTTTATTTGTGTCTATTTCATAATTTGCCTTACTTTCTTGTGTTTTTATAACATTTATGTATTTAAAAACCATTAATGTTTTGGGAGCTTTTAAAACCCGTAATGTATATGTTTATATATGTACATAATATATGTTCCAAAGGTTGTTATAGCCAGGGGTGGTAGAGGGGACAAGTTCCCACTGTCTATAAAATGCTTCTGTGGCACATATATCTCAAATAGTCTCAAACAACAAAGTCCAGCTCCAAGCTAGAGAAAGGGTGAAGAAAGGAAGGACGTCTTTGTTCTTATCTTTTTTATGACCTATCTCCATTTTTGTGTATTGTGTGTGCTGTGTTTTTTTAATACTATGTGTATACATCATCATCATCTTGCGGCCTCAGCCGAGATTGAACTCACTACACCTCTCCAGTATTCCCTATCTGTCATAGCACCTAAAAGATCTTCCTTAGGGATCAATGTGTCACGTTTTATCCTATCTGGAAAGGTTAACTTGCGTGATCGATTGACAGATGATGGGTGCCTCAGAGTACAAATGATGACACAAGTTCATCTATGGCGTGCACAATGCCGGCCCGAACTGGACACGTCTCTTACAAACTAAAGTTGATACTCTTGGCAAGTCACCATATATCATTTCTAGAGTTGGGTGGTTTCGCCATGAGAGATTAAGCACTCTTCTTAAGACGTGTATAACATCCATCTAAACGACGCTGTTGTTTTGCTGGGAGAGTCCAAGTTGATATATTGTGTATACATATTCCTTCTCCACATACACATACATACATACACACACATATATATATATATATATATATATATATATATATATATATATTATTGTTTTATTATAAAGGATTAGTGTGTGTGTGTATATATATATATATATATATATATATATATATATACACACACACCTACTTCCTATGGTGCATAGGGTTTGTGCACGTGTGGTCCGTCTAGTGTGTGTTATATATAGTCATTCGCCATAGATATTTGTATGAGTGAGGTCCAACTAGTGTATTTGGCCATTATGTGTGTATGCTGTGTGTAGGGTTATGATCTGTTTAGTGCTTGTTTAAATTTGTCTATGAAGTTTTTCTTTTATTTGTAGGTAATAATTATCTGTTTGATATATTGGCATAATTTTAAATTTACCTTGATTACATTTGTAGATGTGTTGTGATACAGAGTTTTCTGTTGTCTGGTAATTTGATGTTGCTTTTGTGAAGAGAAACTCTGTTCTTTAGTGCTGGGCTTATACCGATATAGGACTTGTTGCATTTTGTGCACTTAAGTGCATAAATCACATTTTTGGAGTTGCAGTTTTTCTTTACTGTGAGGTTTTCAAAAGTGTAGGAGTTTTCTTCTATAATGATATCAGAAACTCCACATCATGTTGCATTTTGTGACCCCTGTATTGTGTGTTGGCTAAATTTGGATGAGTTTAATGATTGTTTTTAGTATATTTTTCATCTATCGTTCTTGTTAAGTAGGTTTAGATTTCTTGTCATTTCTGTAAATAGTTCTGGATTGTTCTTGTTGTATCTTGAGACGTTTGCTACAGTTTGATATTGCATTTCTTTTGGGTTTCATAGTTGGTCTAAAGGTATTTTTTTTCTGCTAGTTCAAAACCATTGTTTATTAGTGTTGTGGAGTAGCCTCGTTTTATGTAGTTTTTCTAGACGGGTTTTTTAGAGGTGTTTGTCAGCCACCATAGTGCAAACCCTATGTGCTAGTGAATAGGAGATGGATTTTAGACAGTTTTTTGAGTGATGGCTCTTGAAATGAAGATATTGTTGGGTATCTGTAGGTTTGTGGTAGATATCTGTGATAATGTGGTTGTCTCTATTTGTAATGAGTATATCTAAGAACGGCAGTTTGTTAAAATTATATTCTTGGGTGAATTTGATCTTCAGGTGTAAGTTTTGAAGTAGTGTGTGGAATTGGTTAATATCATCCCATGCAGATTTCCAGAAAAGGAAGCAATCATCATCTAAGTATCGCTTCCAAGATTTAGTAAAGTAGGTTTTTATATTTTCCCCATATTTGTTCCATCTTTTCATAGAGGTTTTTCTCTATGTAAGCTAATGTTAGGGTGGCATATGTTGGTGCCATTTTTGTTCCCATCACAGTACCTAGGGTTTGGATATAGTTTTTGTTAAATTCAAAAGTGTTATTGTTCAGAATTAGGTCTATACTATCGATAGTGTGACGATTTTAGGTCGTCAGTAAAAGAAATTGAAATTATAGCCGACCATAGGAGAGATGATGATGATGATGATGAAGGTGCCCAGAAACAGCGGCACGGGCAAGCTAAAAAAAATAGAACGGAGGGAAATTTCGGCACGAAATTGGATAGTTCACCAAAGGTGACAACCCAAGTTCAAGACCTAGAGACAAAGGGAATTTTCGCGCCAGTAAGCGGCCAAAGGTCATAAGTGGAGAAAGAAATTCAGTTGCTGTCGGGATCTGCGGAGTGAAGATCGCCTACACAAAAACCCTGGTACTTGGAAGAAGATAGGTGCAACTCCGTTATATTCTTCTAACGTAAAGTGAAGAAAGCGCAACAAAAAAAAAAAAAAGCACAATCCATGCAGAACATCAACAGAAAGGAAATTGATGTTAATAATACGGCAAAGCTTGGATCTCAATTGAAGAAAAAAAAAAGAGAAAATACAAGAGAAAGAAGAAAAAGAAAATCACACAACAACGAGGTTGGTCTTTCTTTTCACTTTTGTAAATTAATGTACTTGGATTGTGGTTGCGAGACATGTATCCGTCTGTCTATTGGAAAGGTTTGCGAACCTAAGCGATATTATTCGGAGAACCGTCATGAAGTTTGAATGAATATCTTCATGATCCGAGAACTGTCAGAGCCGTAACGAAAACGTGAAGGTGCCATCGCCTATTTTTGTCATCATTTTTGTTAAAAAAAAAATATATATATATATAAACAAGAAAACATAGAGGGAGATCAAAAAAAAAAAAAAAAAAAAGGGAAGACGGGGGAAAAGAAGTTATACCCCTTGCATTGCGGGCAAAAAGAGTTTTAATAATAAAAAAAAAAAAAAAGAAAAAAAAGGGGGCGATAGAGTGCCAACAAGCCGAAAAGTGACTAATTGACATTTCCTTGTCCCTTATACTAGGAATACGAACGCATCCTAACTGAGATACACAAAAGATTGATATTCCATAAATGTTTGTTGCCTCTTCTTTTTCTTCGTTATTGTTGAAATAAAAAAAAAAATAAAATAAAAAAAAAAAAAAATTAAAGAGAAAAGAATTGTTTTTTTGTTTTTTTTTTAATATAGAACTGATTCTTTCACATACCTAAGCCCATAATCGCCTATTTCGAGTGGATGGACAGCAGGGTAGCCTCATACCCCGCCCTGGAAGACCTATCTGCAGTGAGGAGACAGTGCGAAATAAGCGATTGGCGCGTCGCTCCAGGTAATTTCTCCTCTTACCGGCTGGGACGTATTTCTCAAAATGCATCACGTTGAGAAATAAAAATAAAGCCCAGAAGGAGAACGTCACATGGGGGCTCGTCCGGGATCTGTTAAAAAAATATATATACATAGATATACGTATATATACGACCAAGCGTGAACTCATATGATGAATACTTTTTGTGTGTGAAAAACCGAAAACCTCGGAAGAAAGAAAAACTACACAACTAATCATCGGAAGAACACAAAAAATTTTTCTTGGAAAAGAAAAACGATACGGTCACCGAAATTCGGGAGTTTGGAAAAATTCACGAAAAAACC